CTGATACTCGAACTACAAGAACTACAGCAACTACGCGTACTAAGAAGCCTTTCATACAATATACCTTTCCTCAAGGCGGTGGACTCTAGGTGCCTATCGGCAAATAAGCGATCTCAGGCCGTGACAAAAGACGGTCCCGCCCAATAGCCTCGCCAAGACAGGACCTGATACTCCAACTACAGCAACTACAGCAACTACGCGTAGTAAGAAGCCTTTCATACAATATACCTTTTCTCAAGGCGGTGGACGCTAGGTGCCTATCGGCAAATAAGCGATCTCTGGCCGTAGAAAAAAGCGGTCCCTCCCGCTAGCCTCGCCAAGACAAGACCTGATACTCCAACTACAGCAACTACAGGAACTACAGCAACTACGCGTTGTTAGAAAGGTATATATAATATACCTTTCCTCAAGGCGGTGGCCTCTATGCGATATGTGATATGTGCTTATCGGCGAAGAAGCGATCTCTGGCCGTGAAAAAAAGAAGGTCCCTTCTGCTAGCCTTTCCAAGACAAGACCTGATACTCCAACTACAGCAACTACAGCAACTACGCGTAGTAAGAAAGCCTTTCATATAATATACCTTTCCTCAAGGCGGTGGACTATAGGTGCCTATCGGCACAGAAGCGATCTAAAGCCGTGAAAAAAGACGGTCTCGCCCGCTAGCCTCGCCAAGACAAGACCTGATATTCCAACTACAGCAACTACAGGAACTACAGCAACTACGCGTGGTAAGAAGCCTTTTATATGATATACCTTTCCTCAAGGCGGTGGACTCTAGGTGCCTTTCGGCACAGAAGCGATATCTGACCGTGAAAAAAGACGGTCCCGCCCGCTAGCCTCGCCAAGACAAGACCTGATACCCCAACTACAGGAACTACAGTAACTACAGCAACTACGCGTAGTAGAAACCTTTCATACAATATACCTTCTCTTAAGGCGGTGGACTCAGGTGCCTATCAGCACAGAAGCGATCTCAGGCCGTGAAAAGCACGCTCCCACCCGCTAGTCTCGCCAAGACAAGACCTGATACCCCAACTACAGGAACTACAGTAACTACAGCAACTACGCGTAGTAGAAACCTTTCATACAATGTACCTTTCCTCAAGGCGGTGGACTCAGGTGCCTATCTGCACAGAAGCGATCTGAGGCCGTGAAAAAAGACGGTCCCGCCCGCTAGCCTTTTCTTAGAAAAAGTTTACTACAATGCAATGAACTGACTACGACTATTTCGTGATGCGGTAGTCGGATGTTACGTGTAAGACCATACACTCCATACGGAGTAGGCACACATGTACCGGACAGGAAAATCGCACACGTTCGGGTTGTGAGCTCACAAGGCCCCGAAAGTTTGGTTACGTGTCCTGGCGATTTCGTGATTATAGCGACGCGTGTTCTTGTGATAGTTCACATTCGGTGCCTCTGGTACGCACTGGGCGCACTGGTACGCACTCGTACGCACTGGGCGCGCTCGTACGCACTGGGCGCGCTCGTACGCACTGGGCGCACTGATACCGGGCAGGCATGGCGAATACGTTCGGATAGTGAGCGCGAACAACCCCGCGCGCCTGGATGCGCGCCGCGCTATTTTTGTGATGTCTTACATGGAACATGTGCCGTACGCCTGTGCAGCATCTCTCGGTAAGCAGTCTGTGCGTGTACCGGAAATTCGTGATGCGCAACCGGTCGCAGAAAAATATACCGCACGCTCGGCCGCCCTTCTGTCGGGTTGTGTCCACGCTGGCGCCGCACATCCCGGGCACATCCGCCGTGGATTTCGTGATGGCTTACATGAACGCTCCGCCCGAAAAACAAGGCCAATTTGTAAACAAATTAACCCATGCATGTTTTCAACACAAAGGTATACCTACGGCACAGTACAGTGACACTGCATTTATACTCAATGAATATCGCTAGGCAAAATGACAAGGTAGATTCAACTTCATATAAAACAAATGACCAGAAATTATCTATATCTTTATCCTCGATCCGATCTTTATATTGCAATAGGGACCGTTAACGAGTGCTTTTGAATGAAAAGGCTCCAGTCAAAACAAGCCCTTAACGAAATGAAAGCCGACACCTCTGGCTCTGAAGTGTATCAACAAATTACGTCACCTTAATGTCTGGCTGTCACGATACAAGCCAGTCCATGTACATGTACTAGACGGACACACAAATGCTTTAGCCCCTCCACATTTTCTTTTTTTTTACTGTGTAAATGTGCCTCATGATGTTAGTACCTAGTCATTAGTGAATATAACGTACATGTAGTTTTGAACACGACATAAAAATTTAGCAAAACCCGACTATGAACATAAGCTAACATGTCAGAAGAAGTAACGGTGTTCACATTTTCAAAAAATTCAATCCAATATTTGCACACGTCTACCTAAACAATCATGTACCAAGCAGCTGTTACAATGCTTGAGCTCTTAAAGACTGGATACTTGGGGTTTTGGATGTACTAGTACCGTTTTGATCTGAGACCTAGCGTTACTAATAATGTATGGTAAGAATCCGCCTTTTCCCGCCATGAGGTTAACGCCACGCCCTTTTCCTAACGGGCCTTGTTTACGTCGACAAAGGTTAGACATGCAGGTAATGACTACATACTATATACACATCAGTTACTCAACATTTTTAAAACTGTCAGACGTTTCAGTTACTGACGAAAAGTAGCGGATGCTCACCTGAAATGTCTGCAGTTTTTCAAAATCTATCCAGTCATGACCTCTTGTTTAGTTCAAGTGCAGTAGTACAGCTATACATCGCAGGATATGTTCTATGCATTAATTTGTGCGAATGCTATAAGGTGTTATTAGATGAGACTGACGTATACGTACCATCTGATCCATGATGTAACTAACGTGTGTGTGTGGCTGGCTTCAACAGGTGAAAATGACGACGATCGGGCGGCGACCGTACGTGTAGTGGCGCGCGTGTAGCGTACCTGCTGTAGCGTAGCCGCGTAACCGGATCCGGGTCGGTTCGCTTCACCTGTGCCGATGACCTGTTAGCCGCCCGCGGCGTAAAATGGCGGGCAGGTGTCGTATTCAGCTATTCGCAAATTAAAAGCATGGTCGCACGCAAAAGCGAGTTTTTTTTTTTTAAATTCGGGTCACAGAAAACACAATACAGACATAGTGTAACTGTTGCCGCATCTCAAGTGAACAAACTATATTATATTACCATATATATATATATGATAATATAATATAATATATATGGTAAGAAGTAAAAACGAGAAACACAAAAATGAGCTAAGATGTATGTTAATACATACAACAAAAACAATTGTTTAGCCAATTTTCCACTCCTCAAGAAAACAGTATAATATACATTTATCATACAACATGAATATGATGAATATTGTAACGCCAAAAACAATGCATAAGTTCTGACAAAAGCTATACATATCCAGCCAATTTTCGATCAATTTTTGATTAGCCTTTAGCAGGCCTTTTTTCCATCGCTCGGTAAACACAGTACAGTATACAACAATGGATGCATACGCATGAAATACTACACAAATCGTTAAAATGGCTATGCACATGGGAGATATCATTCATGAAAATGGATCGTTGACTGACATAGTACAGTATGTAGTATCGTACAACAATACACATGAAACAATAGATATATTCTTAAAATCCTATATACATATATTATTAATCAAAATAGGTGACACATGACTAACACATTGAAAAAGAAAACAACATCTGTTTCCCTTTTTTCCCTTCCAACATTTTTGTCGTTGCGTACCGTTAGAAAAAAAAAGATTCACACGATGTAACAGCTGCTATGCTTTAGTTGTACGTTTTTTAAGGCTCTGTTCTATACTAAGGTCACATTTTCCAAACCGGTCCCGACGGGGATGTTAGTGTGCGTGTGTTTGTTTGTCTTTGTGTTTGTATGTGTGTGTGTGTGTGTCGTGTT